GTTAGGTGTCTTCCACTTTGTTCGTACCAGCCTCTACTGCTGGGCCAGGCTGGCCATCATTCATTCATTTAGGCCCATTACGCACACACCACACCCAGTCTCCCTCTCACCTGACCTGGTGTTAATTTATTCTGCAAACACTAATGGACACCTGATCTGTGCCGGGCCCTGGGCTAGCTGGGGATGCAGAGGTGAATCAGTCCCTGCCCACATGTATATATTAATTGTAGTTAGGCTAGAAGAGCATCACTTCCTCTGAGTTAAGGTTCAAGTCCAGGTCCTAGTATGTGGCCTTTGAAAGAGTTTTAGCCTTCTTAATTTGTTTTCTCACATGTATGACGGTGATGCCAGGCTCCCATTAGGGCAGCAAGTACTGCATGTCAAGCACTTAGCACAAGTGGTAATCATGATTATTATAGATCCTTGGTACTAAAGAGGCACAGAGATGATAGCTAAAGACTTCTCAGAACTGATGTTTCAAGGTTGAGTAGAAGTTCCTTTAGAGGAGAAGGTGGGAGAAAGTACCTGAACAAAAAAAAGCAATATAGAGACCCAGAGGCGAGAACTGCCCAACTCCAGCAGAGTAGCATGAGGTCAGGCTGGAGAGGTTAGCAGGGTTCTACAAAACCACACCAGAAATTTGGGCTTTATCATGCAGACAGTGAAGAATCAATGAAAGCTTTTTTTTTTTAAGATTTTATTTATTTGACAGAGAGAGACACAGCGAGAGAGGGAACACAAGCAGGAGGAGTGGGAGAGGAGGAAGCAGGCTTCCCGCGGAGCAGGGACCCCAAGGTGGGGCTCGATCCCAGGGCCCTGGGAACATGACCCGAGCTGAAGGTAGACGCCTAATGACTGAGCCACCCAGGCGCCCCATCAGTGAAAGCTTTTAAATAAGAAAGTGAACATGATGTTCTTGGGTGTTCTCTGATAGCATGAGAGAAAGCAGTCTCAGTGAAGAAGCAGCTGTGATTGCTTGATTCTACCTCTCCCTCATCCCAGCGTAACTAATCATCAGATCCCCAGTGCTTTGCTGGACCCTGTCCGAGACCTACAGAATCAGAGTCTCTAGGTCTGGAGCCCAGGAATCTGTGGTTGTTAAACTGCCCCAGGTGATTCTGTTGTGTGGCTGGGTCTGGGAAATGCTGAGTTGAGGGTGGCATGGGGAAGCTTAGTGGAAGCCTAGGCTATTCTTCAAAGAATGGGGCTTCCCAGAGAGGGGAACTTTTCCATAAGCAGGAATAGAAACAGCCTTAGTTTTAAAAACAAAAAACAGACTTTCCCCGTTCTCCAGTTATTGCCCCATTAATGATACTCTCCAACTGCTAATCTTCCTTTGTGTATCCAAAGGCTTACCCCATGCCCATTTGGTGCTGCCATCTCTGCTGAACGATTGGGATGCAGTCAGTCATGGGGCACAGTTCCTGCCATTCAGTGTTCTTAGTGTTGTGGAGAAGACAGATTTCAAAAACTGGGATACATATATGATAAGCTCTATTCAAGAGATATGTAAGAAATGTTAGGACATTCCAGAGCAAAGCACAGTTAATTTTGCCTATGGACTTAGGAGGATGTAACACCCAAACTGTGCCTAAAAAGGAAGAGGCAGAGGGAACAGCATGAGTGAAGGTGTGAGTGCTTTATGTATTTGGGGAAAGAAATGGGTATTAGGGGAAAAAGTGGTTAATGGTTGTTCCTGGCAGAATGTGCAGAGCAGAAAAGGACTGAGGAGAGGAGGTCTTACGTCCCAGGAATGGCCCTGTGTTTGCACCCTTTGGTTCTGTGCCCATGCTCCCTGCCCCCTCATCCTTCAACCTGTAGGTGGATAAACATGCTGCAGTCCTAGGCCATCTCCCTTTAGTCCCTCCTCAAGGCTCTCAGCTCTCCAGCTCCCTTTGTGGTTCCCCCTCCATTCTGAAATGAATAGGCCTTTTCATCTACTCTGAAAAGTGATAAAGGGAAACTTAAGGTAGAAAGAAGGGCCCTAAAATACTGAAGGGTCTTACTAGGAAGTTGTAGCCAGAGATCGTGGATGGGGGGGTATAAAGGGGCCTTGAAGGTCACCTGTCTAGTCCTCTGTCCTGTGCTTCAAGTAATAACTTTGGATTGGGCAAGTCTCACTTAGTAAGTTTCCCTGTCATTTCTTCCAGGACAGAAGAGGAAAGAAACTAACGGGTATTGAGCACCTACTGTGTGCCAGGCCCAGGCCAGGTACTTTACATAATTTATTTCCTTCTGTCCTCACAACTCTGTGAAGTATGGTTTTATTCTCATTTCATGAATGAGGAAATTGAGACTCAAAGAAATTGAGTAATCAAGATCTTACTGAAATGGCAGAACTGGGATTTGAACTCACAACAGTCTGTCTCCAAAGTTCATACTCTTCCACCCATGCGAAATCTGTACTGGGGTGACAGAGTAGGTAATATGGTTTGCCTGAAGTTCTACGTTAGTAACCGTAGTTTAGGCCTTTCGGTGGCTGATTGTACCCAGGAAGCAGGTTCAACGGATGAGCCAGCCTTTGGGGGAGGGGGATGGAAGACCACTGGGGTCAGAGAGACTCACTGCCCTATCCTTGACTGAGCTTATACAACCAGAGAGGATTCTGCACAAACCAGCTGGTGTAAAACAGCTGTTCTTTCAGGAAGGAACTGAGCCAACAGCCTGAGTGTGAGTTTGGGTGAAAGCTCCAGGGCACTGAGGTGCAGTTATATCACCTTCTTAAGAATTAACTTTAGCACTGATACCTTTTCATCAGTGACCCAGAGTGACAGAGCTATACTGTTAGCATGGCATATCCAGGAAAGGGCTAGTTCAGCTGTCTTTAGATTCTACCCTTTGTGTAGAGCAACTGAAATGGAGCCAGGTGGGCTTTAAGCATTTGTTCATTTATTCGATGAACGCCTACCATGTGTCAGTTCCATGCCAAGCCTAGGTTCCTGGGCACACTCAAATAACTAAGATGCACTCCCTGCCCCCAAGGAGTTCTCATTCCGCCAGGGGTTTGGGGCAGACAGAATGTGTCTGTGGCACAGTGTAATAGGTGCTATACTAAAAGAATTAGTTCTGCATACCCTGGTCCAGCAAAAACCGCATTAACCTTTGATGAAGATCTTAGGGCATGAGTACAGATTTGCTGAGCAGTAGAACTGAGACACTGAGGTTTGCAGGGCAAGGTGTATCGGAGGAGCAGTATGGATAGAACCTAAGATTGTCAGGTGTTACACATGGAAATGAAGCATGGAGAGGTCAACTGGGGCCAAGTCATGAAACACAGGAGCCAGAAGGTGTCCTGGTAGTGAGCTCAACCAGAAAGGAGCCAGATTAAAGAGAGAACAAGGTAGGAAGAGGAGCTAAAGGAAGGAGATCCTCAAACTGGTTAAGTACGTGAGAAGGCACATAATAAGCTTACATGAACTAGAGAAGCCTATTGTCCTGGTTGGATGGTTATTTTAATTTGTATATTATTTTGTTACATTAATTTTAATTGTGTGTTATTTTAAATTTGTGTTCCTACCTGATTCTCCAAAATGAGGCGTCTAGGAGTTGGGAGCATTGACAACCCCATGCATGAACCTGCCTGGTTTAAGCATGTGTTCTTAAGGCAGGGATTCTATATTGTTTGATGTTACCCAGCACCTAACACAATGAGAATGGTCTCTGAGCATGTTCATTGAATGAGGAAATGAATGGGTGGATGGAAGAGTAAGTGGCAATGACTGGGCTGATGAGTTTTGCTAGGCTAGGGATTAATCATTTTTCTATGCTTCTAGAAGGGAATTTTGGCTGCTTCTGTTGTCCTGTTTGCCTTGGTGACAGGGAGGCTCTTGGAGTTGGGTGCCTTGAGAATAGAGTGCTCTAATGGGGTCATTTCAGAATAGAATTTGGAAGCTGTTGCAGGGCCACTGGTTAGATACAGCGTATGTCTTGGGGGAATCCTCTACAAACATACATACTGTTGGGATTAAAAGGAATCCATGAGAGGAATAAGAGCAAGTTTAGTGCTGGATATTAGATCCAGCTTCAGAGCAGACCTTGATAGATGCCTGGTCTAGTGACCTGGATTATTCCCCAGCAGTTCCCAAATTGTGGACAGAAAGGTGAGATGGAAAATTTATTCATGCCCCTGAAGAGCTGTCCAGATATGCCATGAACTGTATCATTGTTAACAATCACTGTTGCTAATTGTGTACCCTCCAGGTGACAGGCACCATTAGAGGCTTTACATTAGCAGTTCTCAAAGTGTTTGGTCTGAGGCCCTGTTATACTCCTAAAAATTACTGAGGACCCCAAAGAGCTTTCTTTTGTTGGTTTTATCTGTTGATATTTACCAAATTAAGTATTAAAACTGAGAAAGCTTAAAAATGTTTTGTTGACTGATTCATTTAAGAATAACAGTATTAAGCCTATCATGTTAACATGAATAATTTTTTAATGAAAATACATTTTCCAAAAAAAAATAGAATCTCATTTTCATTTTTGCAGATTTCTTTGGCTTAATAAAAAGAAGCTGATGCTCATATATGTTTTTGTATCCCATCTGTTGCAGTACATTGTTTTGAAGTATATTTTTCAAAAATCTAGCCCCAAACAGATAATGTAGTTGGAAAAGGGAGGAGTATTTTCATAGCCTTTCCAGGTGATTGCTGATATTCTTTGCAATATGGAATCTGAGACTATATCAGTGAAGTCTTTGTACTCATTTACATTAAAAATCTGTTGGTTTATCTAGCACTTTGAATGGATTTTTTTTTACCAATGCATGATTCTAAAACATCATGCTTTGCTCATTTGGAAAATAGGTTCACTGAGTTATGCAGCTCTTCCAAATGTTTTTCCATTTCATTTTACAGTATTAAAAGACTACATTTGTTAATATCACCACCATTTTCACCAGAAAAGTCTTTAAGTATTGGGAAGCTGTTAAGTTCATGATGATGGATACAAAATTCTAATTTTCAAATTTCCAAAATTCTGATTTTTGCCTGAAAGCTTGAATTTTGTCATTGGCCACAAATAAAAAGTTGTTTTCCTTGAAGTGACGGGCTCATTTTGTTCATTTTTTGAGAAAATGTCTGGCAGTTTCCAAGTCTGAATAACCAGTTTGTCAGTCATTCTTTTGAGTAAAAATGATGTTCCATGAGAAAAACTGGCTTCCTTTTCCTTTGATTTTAACTACTCTTATCCAGGAAAATCTAGAATACTGTAGCATGTTTCTCAGGCCAAGACAGAAAAGTCTTGGGCCTGGTCAGGTGAGGGAGCAGAGATAATGATTTTAATGACTGCACATGCCAGTCCCCTGGGCTGGGAGTGGCCACAGTCTAGGGTTCACCTGGCTCCTTGACTGCCCTGGGGATGTGCATGCTAAAACATGGATCCCCTGTGTGAGTAACCCCTCACTCTCAGAGATGCTGGTTTTGCCTAGAATGAAGCAGAATTTAATCTTGGAGCTTTTTTGAGCAGATCCTAAATCTAGAAAACCCTAGAATCTTTCCTTGCTCTTTCCCCCATCTTATACTTAGGACTAGACTTTTATCTGGAGAGGCTCTGAAATTTAAATTGAAGTGAGAAGGAGTAATTGTTGCCCAGGGCTGCTGGGTTTAAGGATCAGTTCCCTAGGCTTTGTGATGAAGAAAAATGGTTTGGTATTTCATTCATTCGATAAACATTTATTGTTCATGTTCCTGTGTGGGAATACCGTGCCTGATGTTAAAAATGCCAGTTGAGAATAGCTAGTTGAAAGCCTGAGTTGACTTCAGGGCATAAGGGATCATGATTGCCAGGAATTTGAAAAATGGCAGGAGATTGCAGTCAAAGGGAATTCTGAACCAAGAGCTTTTCTCTGCCAAAGCAAAAATTTGCAGAAATAGTGGTAGTACTGACTGAATATAACATCTCCAGGTCTCGGGATTCTCACCACCCTCTGTCAGTAAAAATGAAAATGTCAGAGAAAAAAGTCCCCGGGCCCCACCAGGGGCAGACACCAAGACTTAGGATTAAAACAGCTTTGGGAGTAGCCCCAAGAATTGTGGCCCAGAAAGAGCTCAGGTATACCAAACTCAGGACAGTGAATAACTAGATTCCAATGTAGCTTTTTATTAAGAACAGAATGGCCAAAGGGCATAGGTAATAGATTGTCTACTGCATGGAACCCTTGGGCTAAGTTTTGCATCTCTAATGTCACTTAATTCTTTGAGCAACCTTATGCAGTGTAGGTAGTATCATCCCGGCTTCAGTTAGGACCTAATTAGCTTGCCAGGCCCTGTTTTTTCTCCCTTTAACTGGAAAGACAGCCTGTCCTGTAAATTTGCTTCCATTGATGGCTAATCTCATTTATTATGTGGACCAGTTTGGCTCTAGGAAGAGCCACATTATTTCCATGAATGAGGCCATCTCATTGTAATCCCCAAGGAACATGATCTTCCACTCTTCCACACTTAAGATTGGAACCATCCAGGTGAAGGTCCAGGGTAGGGAGATGGCCTTTCTCTGTGAGAAGCAAAAATTTGAAAATTTCAAGCAGTGTCTTGCTAAGCTGTACTGCCATAGTGATACTTAACAAATCTGATTTAGCCACTATGTGCCCAGCTGATCCCATGCCCTGTGCTACACTGTGAGAGATCCAGAGAAGAATCAGACCTGATGCTTGCCCTCTAGGAGTGCAGCGTAATAGAAGGGACAGGAAATGCAGGTAAATAAATAAAGTGGAAGGCACAGATGCTGTAAGCAAGGCATAATGTGCCATGGAGATATAGGGAGGGGAGAGGAATTACAAGAGGGACTCCCTGGGAAAGCTTGGATGAGGTTGGGTTTAAGCCCTGCCCAGCTACTTATTGGTAAACTTGGGAAGGAAGGGGTTTGAAGCAGAGGATCCCCATTAGCAAAGGCATGAGGTAGGGATAGGAGAGTACAGAGAATATTTGGGGAACTTAAAGAATGACTTTATGGGGTAGAGGGCGGAGATCAAGATGTCTAAAAGTCACCTTAAATTCATTCCACATGAAAGATGGTTGCATTCTTACAAAATATAGTGACCGTATTTTCTATATTTTTCAAGCCTAGTCCTGATTTTAAATGTTTTCCATCACTCCCATCATATTCATAATTAGTAACATATGTTGAGGCAACGTATTACGGGCCTGGCACTGGACTAGGTGCTTTGTCCATTCCATGTTCACAGCCAACCCTACAAGGTAGAACTTAATCCCATTTTACAGATGAAGAGACAGAGACTAGAACTTGCCCAGCATCCTATAGCTGGTAAGTGGTGGAGGCCCAAGATGAGTGCCAAAGCCAATGTCATTTCCACTGTACCCGGTGCCTCCCACAAGCACTTTAGCACCAGGTACAAATCACACTGATCACATGTTCAACTTATAAAGAATTCTGTATATGCTTTTAAAAGAAAAAAAAAACACTTATTGAACATTGCCATATATGTTATACACTTGATATTTTGGTTGTGCCAAAACTATATATACTGTACATCACAGGCCATACAAAGAATTTCAGAATAATTTTACTCAGACAAGATTTTCCTCTTATGTAGTAACTTTAGAACCTAATACCCGAATGAAATGAAACTCTGCTGTAGCAAAACTACACGTCCTGGTGTTTTCCTTAAGAATATGGTCACCATCAGCACAGGGAAAGGGACTTGGATGTTGGCCTCATCTCCTCCCTCTGGAGTTACTATGGCACCTTATAGCTATGAAAAGTTTCCTGGGTACACTTCTCAAAAAGGCCTCCTTGACTTCTCTGAATACCATCCTTCTCCATCAATCTCCCACCCTTTCCATGAGATACCACCAGTGGGTTAGAAGCTCTATCCTTTTACAGTTGCAGTTAAGCAGCTGCCTTGTCCAACTGAAACGTTCCCTTGACAGAAACCTTTTAGGCAGTATCTTACATAGGTTCCACATATAGGATTTCTCTCTCTCTGGTTTTTTCTTTTCCAGTGTTCTTGTTCTTCCCCAGATGTTTCATTATGCTTCTGGTACTATTTGGTTCCTTTCTTTTTCTAGAAACCAGAGACCCAGGTCAGTGTAATTGTAACATTACAGATTTAAGGATACCCTGATGCCAATTTATTGTGAGAAGGTGATTTTATTCGAGAAAGATGATGGCATTTATTTTCATGGTAGGATGAGGATGGTACCCTTATTCCTTTGCTTAGGCCTCTGCAAACATCTGTTACCTAGTGGTGGGTAAGTTTGGAAGGTCTATCAGTTAATACAACTATTGCATGTAACAAACCACCCCAAAACTTAGTGGCTAAAACAACACTATTTATTATTTCTCATGAGTCTCTGGGTTGACTGGGCGTTTCTGTCGATCGGGGCCGGCTTGGCTGATCTTAGCTGGGCTCACTCATGTATGTGATCCACTGGCCCATCAGCGAGGAAGACTCAGATTTCTCCACACGTCTCTCACATCCCTCCAGCAGCTAGCCTGGTCATGCTCTCATGGCAGGCAGAGGTGCAAGAGCGAGCAAGCCCAGCCATGCAAAGAAGCAAGTAGAAATGCATACATAACTTTTCAAGCTTATGCTGGCATCAAATTTGCTAACATCCCATTGGCCAAAGAAAGTGACATGACCAACCCCAGTGTCAGAGAGGGTTCTACGAAGTTACAGAATAGCCCTGGAAGCGGTGGCATTCGTGGTATAGTGGTGAGCATAGCTGCCTTCCGAAGCTGCAGAATGTAGGAAAGCCACGAATTGGGGTCATTAAATGTAATCAGTCTCCCAATCAGTACCCCTCAATATGACATAAAAACCTGTAGTCTTATATTTCTTTGTCATTTGTCCTAGAAGGAAAAAAAAAGTCCAAGTAATAATTACTGGGTATTGGGCCTATGCTTTGAGCATGCACGGGGCTAGGCACTTTCCCTGTTTATGCACTGAGTCTCGTATCAACTCTGCAAGGTAGGTAGGAAGTCAGAGCTCAGGAAGTCAAATAACTTGCTCAAGGTCACCCAGCTAATGTGTGCTCAGGCTGGCATTAGAATGTGGGTCAGTCTGACCCCCAAAGCCCAGGTCTTTTCACCATACCTCACTGCCTCTCAGAAGCACCAGGGTCTGTTTTACCCTTTCTCCAACTCAGTTTTCTATTGAATTAATGCTTTCTGATGAATTATGCAAACCCCTCCACCAAAATGCTGCTGTGATCCTAATGGAATTGTGCGGCTTTCAGGAAAGCCACGCGCGTTCTCCCAAACTCAACATTAACTGGAAGGATCTCCCCAACCCCCAGGTGGGGATTGGTCTGTGGACTGCACAGACCGCTCAAGAATTGTGGCCTCTCCCAGACATATCAGAGAAGGAAGGGGACCTTCCTTTAACCTTTGTAGGGCATTTGAGCATGAGCTTTGAAGTCAACCAGAGTTCAACTCCTAATTCAGCCACTCACTAGCTCTATAACCTTGGGCAAGTTGCTTAACTTCTCGAAATCTGTTCCTTCGTCTTAAAAAATAAAACAAAGTAACACCTAGTTTGCAGAGCTATTACAAGGACTAAAATTATGTATAGAAAGTGCCTAACCCAGTGCCTGGCATATAATAAGTGAAGTTATTAGTATGGTTAATATTATTTCTAAGCAGAGCCTTTCCCCTCCTGGGAAACCCTGTTTCTGTCTGTTGGACAGGTTCCCCCCACCTCCACCCAGTCTGTGCAGACTTGCTGCCTGCTATGTCATCGGGAACGCAAAGGCTGGGAAGAAGGCCCTTCCCAAAACGGACTGGTGTTGCAGGGTGAGAAGCTGCCCCCTGACTTCATGCCAAAGCTTGTCAAGAATCTCCTAGGCGAGATGCCTCTATGGGTCTGCCAGAGTTGCCGAAAGAGCATGGAGGAAGATGAAAGGCAGACAGGTCGAGAGCATGCAGTGGCGGTAGGTAACGGCTGAGAAGGGGGTCCCTGAATGCAGGTGGGCTGCCTGCCCAGAGAGATCAGGCTGTTGAGCTGTTCCTTCCCTGCCCTCTCAGGTGGCACTCCTCCGGCAGCCCCTGCACCCAGGCACTGAGTGGCTGCTGGGCTGTATCCACACAGCAGTAGTGGCTTGGGTTCACACTCGGGGCAAGAACGGAGAGGCTGCAGGCAGCCCCCTTCCCCCTGAGGAGAGCCTGTGCAGTGTGAGTGCCTGTTTATAGGTGTTGTCGATGGAGATTCTGCCCCTTCTGTGTCACTGTGCTGCCTTCAGCCCTGTGACAGCTTAAAAGCCAACCAGTATGTGACGGATGGCAAAGGTTGGTTTGAGGGTCGACCATGTGCCTCAGTTAGAAGGAGCCATCTAAGTGGCATCTCCTGAATCACAGCAGTCAGACTTTCCTTGGTTCTCATTCCCCTCCAGCCCCTCTTTTACCCCAGGATCATGTCAGCTTCAGGACTTTTGACTTAAAGACCCTTCCTTTCCTTGGCAGCTCTCAGGACTCCCCAGAGGCCCACAGCTGACAGGCAGTCTGTATCTCTACCAGATTCTCTCTCACCAGTGTCCACACACTTCACTTCACTGGGAGCATCACTGCTCCTCCCGGCAAAGGCCTGACCCATGTCTGCCCGTGCACCTGGAGTTGTGAGAATTGTACTTTGGCCATGGCACAGGGCCTGGAGGAGGAGGTGCTCCTGAGTAAGCTACGGCAGCAGCGGGTCGGCTCTCATGTTTGCTGTTTTACCATGAGCCTTTTTCTTCCCCCTTCTCCAGATCTCCTTGTCACACACATCCTGCAAATCACAGTCTTGTGGGGGTGACTCTCATTCCTCTTCGTCCTCCTCTTCATCGTCCTCGTCCTCCTCCTCCTGCCATGGGAACTCGGGGGACTGGGACCCCAGCTCCTTCCTGTCAGCACATAAGCTTTCGGGCCTCTGGAACTCTCCGCACTCCAGTGGGGCCGTGCCGGGTAGCTCACTCGGGAGTCCTCCTACCATCCCTGGTGAGTCTCTGAGCTCGGGGGAGAGCCAGGCCACGTAAATGTAGAGAGCTATGTTTTTCTAACCACTTCGATAGACAAATCAGGTCATTTATTAAAATAAGTACAAGAGGAACTGTTCTGATGGAAGCAGGGGTACCTAGCCCTTGGCTGTCTCCATGGCGCTCCTTTCCCCAGAGCTCTGAAGTTGAAAAATATGGTCATTGACTCTGATAGCTTTCCCTTCAGATTCAGGAGGGGATGTGGTAAACACCGGCTGAACAGAAAGTGGAGTCTGGGAGTGTCCTTAGGACACTCAGCCACCTGAGTGCTCCTTTGGACATAGCCACCTAACACCTGACCCCTGCAGCAGCACAGAGGACACGGGTGCTTTGTCTTCCTAAGCCGCCTTTTCTTCACCTAAGGGCACGTATAAAAAGCACAAGAAGTTGGTGGCACAAACTGCTAGGATTATTAGCGAAGTTCACAGCTATATAAGCTGCCTTTATACCCTGCATTAACCCTTAGATACCCAAAGAAAAAGTCTTAAGTTATTGAGGTACTATGTAAATACTCATTACTGTCTGTTTCTAAATTGAGGGCTTGAGATGAGTATAACACTCTTATGTTAACTATACTGGAATTAAAATACATAAGAAGAATAAAAAATTGAGGGCCTGAGTTCTCCAAAGGGGTGCTGCTCCCCTTTATGAGAATTGTGAGAGTTGAGTAGAATTCCATTTATTTTGATGTATAAGCCAAAGAGGACTCATCAGAGCCTTTTCCCACTTCTCTGATATCTGGGGCCACCTGGGAGTCTGGCGTACCCTGGCTGCCTCAGTCCTCATGGCCCAGAGGCAGAGCTTTGGCCTGCTGCTCCACTGGCTTCTATAGACCCTTTTCTGGGCCTGAGGAATGCCTACAAGCACGCAAGTCCTAGAGAGACCCCAAGACACAGAGCACATATCCCCTGTTTGTGCCACAGCAGAGGTGTTGTGGCCTTCCATGGGACGGGCATTCCTGGGTCCTTCTCTCAGATCTGGGCTCCTCAAGTCTGTCCAGCCAAGTGGCTCCCTGCAGGGAAAACTCTCCAGCCCGAGGCACTGCTAGACTTGGTCCACAGTGCTAAGGTTCCCTCTGATCACAGTAAGCAGGATGTTGTGACAGTGAGCCTGGGCTTCCCAGGGTCTTGGCTCTCACTCTGACCCCCTTCTTCACCATCCACAGGTGAGGTTTTCTCTCTCTCGGAGCACCACCGGCACTCAGACCTCACTGCTCCACCCAACAGCCCCACCGGCCACCACCCCCAGCCAGCATCGCTGAGCCCATCTCAGCCCGGATCCTTCGGCTCACCACCCCACCCGCACCTGCTGCCTGCTACCCCGGCAGCGCCTTTCCCTGCCCAGGCTTCAGAATGCCCTGTTGCCACTGCTGCCGCCCCCCACACCCCAGGGGCATGTCAGACCCCCCACCTGCCCTCCACCAGCATGCCGCTCCTGAAGATGCCTCCACCATTCTCGGGGTGCAGCCACCCCTGTAGCGGGCACTGCAGCGGGCACTGCAGCGGGCCTCTCCTCCCACCTCCCAGCTCTCAGCAACTCCCTAGCACTCACAGGTAAGTAAGTGGCATGAGGGGCATACTCCCTGCTAACTTCAACCTTGAGTTCGAAGAAACTTTACAAACCATACCTTTGCGGGGGAAATTAAAGGGGAGACTCTAGGGGCGCCAGAGTGGCTCAGTCAGTTGCGCGTCCAACTCTTGGTTTCTGCTTGGGTCATGATCTCGGGGTCCCAGGATGGAGCCCCACATCAGGCTCTGTGTTGAGCACAGAGTCTGCTTAAGAGTCTCTCTCTCCCTCTGCCTCTCCCCCCACTCACGCTCTCTCTCCTCTGTAGGATAGGTAAGTAAATCTTAGAAAATAAAAAAAGGGTAGACGCAATCTTTTGTATAGTTTTTACGATCATAAAAGAAGTGTTTTATTGTTTTTTAAAAAACTTGGAAAAATTCAGAGATGTCTAATGAAGAAAAAATTTCATGATCTAAAGATAAACTTTTTTTTAAAGATTTTATTTATTTATTTGAGAGAGAGAATGAGAGAGAGAAAGAGAGAGCACATGAGAGGGGGGAGGGTCAGAGGGAGAAGCACTCCCCGCCAAGCAGGGAGCCCGATGCGGGACTCGATCCCGGGACTCCAGGATCATGACCTGAGCCGAAGGCAGTCGCTTAACCAACTGAGCCACCCAGATGCCCTGATAAACTTTTTTTTTTTTTTAAGATTTATTTATTTATTTTGAGAGCGAGAGAGCACATGTGCGCAAGCAAGGTGAGGGGCAGAGGGAGAGAGAAAAAATCCCCAGGCAAACTCCCCGCTGAGCGCGGAGCCCAATACAGGACTCAGTTTCACAACCCTGAGATCACGACCTGAGCCAAAATCAGTTCGTTGCTTAACTGACTGAGCCACCCACGTGCCCCTAACGATAAACTTCTAACACTGCAGTATATTTTGTTTCTGATGTTTCTGTATATAAATTAGGTCCACGTTTATACATTCTTGTGGTAGTTATTTTTTAACATTATATATCATTTCCTCAGTTAAAATTCTTCAAAAAACTTTCAAGTGACTGCAAAATATCTTATTGTATACCTCTAGCATAAATTTATTTTATCATTCCCATATTCCTGGACATTGGGGCATTTCTAGTTTTTGTTTTTAAGATTTTATTTATTTGACAGAGAGCGTGTGAGCACAAGTAGGCAGAGTGGCAGGCAGAGGGAGAAGCAGGCTCCCTGCTCAGCAGGGAGCCCCGATGCAGAGCTTGATCCCAGGACCCTGAGATCATGACCTGAGCTGAAGGCAGACACTTAACCGACTGAGCCACCCAGGAGCCCCCAGGCATTTCTAGTTTTTAGCCACTAAAAACAAGTCTGTAATAAACATCCTTGCACCCAAATCTGTATTTGAGTCTGGAATTATGGGTTTAAGGATTCCCTGAAGTAACTCTAATATGAACTGAGGAAGTTTATATTAATGTAGATGTGGAAGATAAAATTCTTTGGAGAAGATAAATGTGCATTTTTGTATTATAAATCAGATCTGTGTTTAGTATGCATTTGTATTTTCTTATTCTAAAATCCCACCACCCTAATACCACCACTGTTGGCAGTTTTCCCTGCAGGTCTTTCCCACCCAGTGGTGGTGGTGTCTATGAAGTTTACAGTTTTTCGTTGTCCTCTTTCACTCAGCATTCATTGGTTCCTATGTGGTCTTCTGGGCCTCAGCTGAAGGCTAAAGAATATTCTCCATAGTGTACTTCACTGTTTTCCAGTTGGTGATGATTTAAGTCATTCCAGTATTTTAACACTGTAAATAATCTCTCTAAAGATGTCTTTGCCTAAAGCTTTTTCACTTTTGGGTTTTTACTCCTTGGAATAGATCCCTCAGAATGAAAAAAGTTTAAAGGATGTCAGGATGTCTTTTTGAAAAGGATTCTTAATACACATGAAAAATTGCTTTTCAAAGGGCTCTCCAAATTGATGTAACCACCAATATTAGGATGCTAGTTTCTTCATATTCTCCGGAGCAGTGGGTATTTTAATTTTGCTAATGTGGGTGAAGAATGGTCAATTTGGATTAAGCTTCTCTGAGTACCACTGGTAATGGTTCCTGCCCCTCCTTTTCTACTCCTTGCTCAACAGCCAAGCCTCTTCACTCCCCCTCATCCTGCCCTTTCTCCCAGCTCCCACCCCATGTCCCCAGCCTCAGGGCACTCCAGCTTCTGGCCAACCCAGTGCTCTTGCTCTTCTGGCTCCAGTTACGGGACTTTGTGGGCCCAAGTCTTTTCTTACTTGGGAAAATAAGCTATATCATGTGATGCCCCCAGTGCTTCCTAAAGTCCAGAGGCAAAGCAGTACAATGGGAGAGCATGAGCTTTGCACACAGGCACAGGCTGAGTCCTAGATACTCCTTGGCAAAGCAGTTCAGCACTCTGACCCTTAAGTTACTTCCAGTGGAGGATGGGGATAGCAACATCTGTTTTGCAGGACTTGGGAGACGCTTAGAAATGATATGCTAAATAGAGTACCAGACCCAAACAGTTAAGTAGTTCTTAGAGTCTGGCCCACAAAGCATATTTACTTTTCTAACTTTAAGGCCCCACACTAAGGCAGCTCAACACATGGGGGCAGACTCAGTCTAAGAACCTTAGAGGATGAAATTGACCTCATCAGCCTCCTTCGGATGCTCCAGGAGAGCCATCAGCCCACTAAACTGTTCGGATACCTGCTTATTGAGCACCTGCTGTATACACTGTTGTTATGCTGCCCACTGGGACCCAAAAATAGAATTAACAGTCCCTGCCTTTAGGGAATGCACAGTCTGGTCACAGAAACAGGTGGGCAAACAGACCGTCAAAGTAAAGTGTGATCTCCAGTAGGATAGGGAGGTATACACACCCGCTCTGTGACCCTCCTTCCGAGTCCAGGAGGGTCACACAGTGGGTACGGGCATGGGAGACATGAGGTTCCTACCTTTCCAGAATAATGCCATTGAGCTGGGCCCTGAGGGACAGTGACCATGTTGGCCCTGCTCTTGTGAGAGGCACCGATATGGTGTGACTGCCTTGGCCTTTATGGGGTGAGGCAGATGAAGGGTAGTCCGCGCAGCAGTGGCCATCAGAAGCAGTGCGTCCCCAGGCTCCTGCTGCAGCCTGCTCCTGTCCTCCCTCACCTGTGGGCTTGTCTCTCTCCCACATCAGCAGGGACCCTGGGTGCAAGGGGCACAGGTTTACGCACAGCGGCCTGGCCTGCCAGCTCCCCCAGCCCTGCGAGGCAGATGAGGGCCTGGGTGAGGAAGAGGACAGCAGCTCAGAGCGCAGCTCCTGCACCTCCTCCTCCGCTCACCAGAGAGATGGGAAGTTCTGTGACTGCTGCTACTGTGAGTTCTTCGGCCACAATGCGGTGAGTGAGCCTGCCCAGGCCAGAGAGGGCTGGGGGCCAGTTAAGGTGAGCCAAAGGAGCACCTGCTCTCCCCAGAGACCCCACCCCCCATGGGTATAGTAACCACACCGGGACCCTCTGAGTCCTCACAGCCTGTGTTCACTCGCTTGATCCTTACAGCACGCTTGTGAGGTAGGGATTTTTAAACACCTTGCTACCTTTGCTCTTTTCATGGTTTCTCCTTAAGATTGACTTTTTTTCCTTAGGCAAAAGGAAAGGAAATGGCAGAGAGAAAGCTATGATTCTGATGAGCATGCATACGTGTGTAATCACAGAGAAGCGAACACTTGTGCGTGATGAAGGCACAGTGGAAGCAGAGGCTCTCGGTCCCCCAAGCGTGAGCCAGCGAGGGACGGGCCGTGAGCACAGACGGCACCAGGCAGGAGGCTCAGGGCAGAGTACATGCTGTCTCTGGACAGAAGGCGAAAGCAGCTCAGAAGTCTCATAAAGTGAAGAGGAAAGGGCCGCCGGCTAGGGTAGAGCAGTTGAGGACAGAAGAAATGAACGTAATTACATTGTTAGTCACCTTTAAGCTAAGGGTTATTATTCTCATTTTAGAGATGACAAAATCGAGGCACACAGAGACTCAGTGACCTGCCCAAGGTCATACAGCTTACAAGTGACAAAGCCCGGGCTCAAACCTGCTTTCCTGGCTCCCGAGTCAGTGTGCTCACAATGCTGTTACGTATCTCCCACTCCCTCCGCCCACAGCTGCCTCAGCTCTGGGCCTGGCCGAGGCTGAAGCCACTCGGCCTTTGTGGCTATGGTAGGAAGAACGGTTGTCTGGCTTCTCACCACACGTTCGGTGCCAGCGGGTGGGAGTGCTCCGGGCTTCCCAGGCCCAGGGTGTAACGTCAGCACCTCCCCTCCCCCAGCCACCCGCTGCCCCGACGAGTCGGAATTACACAGAGATCCGCGAGAAGCTCCGCTCGAGGCTGACCAGGCGGAAAGAGGAGCTGCCCGTGAAGGGGGGCGCCCTGGGCGGGATCCCTGGGGAGCCCGCCGTGGACCACCGGGATGTGGATGAGCTGCTGGAATTCATCAACAGCACGGAGCCCAAAGTCCCCAACAGCGCCAGGGCCGCCAAGCGGGCCCGGCACAAGCTGAAAAAGAAGGTGGGTGTGGGGGGGGAGCCTAGCTCTACCGCCTCTCCTCCCTGAGGAATCTCTTGCCCCAACCCCCCAAGACTTGTGGGGCATGAACAGTGCTGGCTGCCAGAAGCCTTGGCACAGCTCACTGCTATGGGAAGGTCTGAATGCTTTTGGGAGGCATCAGGGTCAGGGAGCCTGGGGCCAGTGATTGGAGGAAAGACGAGTCCTGGCCTCAGAAGCTGCTTGCTGGATTCCTCAAGGCACAGGACTTGCTTCAGTCAGTCAGTCATTTATTCATTCAGCAAACACTTCTGCAAATACTGAGAGCCAAAGCATGATGCAGTTAAGTTCTTACCCTGGAGAAGTTCAGTCCAGTGGAGAGACTGACACAAAACCGGACGAGCTCATTAGCATGTGACAAGCCCTGGGATGAGGAAAGCCCCCATCCTGCCTGGGCACGCTGGAAATGGCTCACCAAGAGGCTGACTTGAGAGCTGAGTGGCAGGGAATGAGTTCAGTTTCATCAGGAGAGTTGTTCTGGCAGCAGGCATAGCACATTCACAGCGGTTTGGGGTAGCCGAAGCTCAAATAGAGGAGAGGCAGGACAGCTAGTAGAGGTCCCGCTGAAGACTTTTGACTTGATCCTATAGCTGAGGGGGAGTCACTGCAGGGCTTTTATCAAATCTGCATGCCACCATGACTTTGGCAATATAGAAGGTGGCCTGGAGGGGTGAAACTCCCAGAGGGGATACTGAGGCCCAGGGAAAGCTGATTGATAGTGGGTCTGGAGCAAGGGAAGCAGACATGACTGGCTTTGGCGATCTGGTTGTGGAACAGAGATGAAGAAGTCAGGGATATCTTCCAGGTGTTTGCTTGGGTGACTGGCAGGATGGTGTGCCCTTCACCGAGCAAGGATGGGATTGGCAGAAGACAACAGAATTCAGTTGGGGAGCATTGACTCAGAGATTCTCAGGAGACCTCCAAGTGGAGATGGTGGTGTGGGGCTGGGAGTTGCCAGCTTGGAAATATAATTGAAGCCATGGGAATGACCCAGCCCATGAGCTGAGTGAGCTCCTCAGAGGGCTGAGGAGATAACCCAGTGAGCTATTCCTGGGCAGCCCTGCTCCCAGGCAAGCCCCAGGGCTTGGCAGCTCGTCCCCCGCCACCTCCTTACCTCTTCACCTGCCTGCCCCCAGCTGCGTCTGCACAGCGCCACACTTGGGAGCCCAGCAGCGGAAGAGTTGGGTTTGACAACCAGCTAGCTCCAGGTCCTGGGTGGTCAAACAGCCCTGGTGCTCTGGAAAGCAGCAGCAATTCTACATCTTTTTCCAGCCCAAAGGACAAACCAGGACCCTTTCCCTGAAGCCTGAAGTAGTGAGCCAAGGGGTCCCATTGCTGCCTTCAGAAAGTGGTCAGCACTTTCTTTCTCCCATCCAGTGTTGCCTGACCAGAAGTGTACAGTGGGCAACAGCGGTCTCTTTAGCCTTCCCTGGCTTCTTAAGTTAGTTCCCAGCGAGCAGGCACACTTTGAAGTTCCCAGGCCTGGTGTGCTTTCCATAAAATCTGTGCCCACACATCCCTACCCCTTTGCTGGTAATGCCAGTAACAACTCTTCTCTCCCCTCCTTTTCCTCCTGGCAACTTCCTTCAGACTTCCTCAGGTAACTCCTTCCACGGTACTGCCAACTGTACCTCGCACATCTCTCTCAGCTGCCATTTCGCACACTCCATGCACTCATTCAGAAACTTGCTGCACAGCTTCAGTCTGCCCAGTCCAGTCTGGAGGCCAGAGTACAACACAGCACCAGACAGTTGCAAGGTCATGTGATAGGCAGTCATGGTCATTATCTGTTTATGCATCAGCCTCCTCTCCAGTGTCCTTCCTCTACCTCTCAGACTTAACCACAGTCTGGCTGTCCACCAAAAACATAGCTTCCCCTGGGAGCCATCCAGTGGAGACTGCTCATTCTCTCCCACCTCAGGAGACCAATAAAGCTGAGTATCTTTCTGCTCCCTTACACCATTTCCAGACCGTGACTGTCTGTCCCTCATGTACTAAACCCTACTCCTTTGAAACTGACCCTGGCTCTGTCACCTGAAGTCTCCTGGCCACTCTTCTTCATCCACTGAAGGCTGTCACCTGCCCCTTTCTCTTCTTCCCAGGCCATAGAGATCCCCTGACGATAATTCACTCACTGTCTTACCAATAGTCTCAATTCCTTGCCCTGTTGCCCTTCCATTTACATCCACTCAGAAAAATCGCAGCCCTGGGTTTGACCCCTCCCTGCCTCTCCCCTTCCACACCTCTAGGAAAGCGCTGGATCACATCTATCTGTGGCACCCAGGCCGCGTGATCTCCCTCTTGCCTGAGCCCTCACATTGCCTAGCAGGCCTCTAGTCTACTCGTTCTTCATCACTTCTGTTCACCACAGACCCTTTGTCAGACCTCCAGATTCTTCTCAAATCCCCACGCTCTCCCCACCCCACTTTTCTTACTTGTCAGATGAGCTCACTTCCTGTATCAACAAGGGAAAAAAAGCCAGTGAACAGGCACTCCCTCAAACATCTTACCATTCCACCTGCAGACTTTCTTCTTGTCATGAGGGAAGAGTTACCCCTTCTGCTTAAGGCTGTGCAGTTCTTTCCTGCTGCCTCAGTCTTAAGCTCGGCTTCCTGCTCTGGCTCTGGCCTCTCCTGGGCTGGCTCCCGTCAGCCTTTCACTGTGCCCACTTATACTATCTTTTGAAAGCAAACTGCCTTGAGTCTACAGCCTCTCTCCCTCGCCTCATCTCTCCTCCCATCACAGCCAGATTTCTTGAAAACTTGTCTGCATTCACTGTCTTTCCTGTTAGCTCATTGCAAACTGTTTTCCTCTCCCTCCCCTCCACAGAACCATCAGTGACATCTTTGTTGCTAAATCATACCCTCCTGTCCCATCTTCTCTGTCCACTAGGCAATATCTCACATTTTGTATTGGTTTTCCTTTACAAACATGTTCTCTTTGGCTCCCCTGTCCTCGGCCAGGTGGGCAAGGGGAAGAACAATGGGAATGCCGTGTTCTCTAGATTTCTCACCTTCTCCGACTTCTATCTCCTTCGTGGACTCCTCTTCCTTTCCTCTGACCCTCCCGGAACCTCAAGGCCCACTCCCTGACAAAGAGAAGCTGTCTAGATAGTGTTGTTCCTGGTTCACTAGGTTCTACCTCTTTCCTCCCTGCACTTCACATTGACAACTCCTGCTGCTATGGGGCACCTCCTCACAAATGCCCCACTGGTACTCAGACTGAGCACATCCAAAACTGAGCTTGTTCTCTTTCTCCAAGGAGGCCTGCTCTTCCTTCTCCATTGTCTGTCTAGTTAATGGCACCACCATCCACCCAGTTGCCTGAACCAGAACCCAGGGTGCCATCCTGGGAGGAATGCGTCGTGGTGATCGAGAGCAGCGAGCCTTGGAATCGGACCTCAGTTTGAAACCTGGCTCTGCCACACTTGCTGGATGACCTTGGGCAAATCACTTCAGCTCTAAGCCTCAGTTTCTTCATCCACAACATGAGAATAACAGTAGAACCTAACTCAGATGGTTACGGGAATGAAACAAAGTGATGCACAGAAAGGCTCAACAGAGTGCACTTGGTCAGGGAAGCGGCAGCCACGCCAGGGGTCGTCAGTATTGTTCTTGTGGCTCATCCCATCTCCCCACCTGTCCCTGAGTCCTGGCCATGAGACCTCCCAAAGAGCTCAAACCATCCGCTTCTCTCCACTCTACTACTGCTACTGAAAAAGCCGTCAATGGCCAAACATTGCCCTCAGCATCAAGCCCAGACTTGAACCTGGCCTGCAGGGCTCTTCAGCCCCTGCTTAGCTTGCCAGCTTCATCTCTCCGTCTCTCCTCCCTGGCCTTCCTGCCTGCCACTCCCCACCACTCCTAAAAGAAACCTGGGCCCCAGCTCTCCCTGTGAATGTTTGCATTCCCTAAAGATTATATGTGCGCATTCCCCAGTCACTTGCTCTTCCTTCTGCCTAAAAAGTGCTAGTCTCACTCTCCAGGATGATCCCAGTCACCCTCCAGTGCCCAGTGAGCTACTGCCACCTCTGGGAAGCACCTCTGATGGCCCAGTCTGAGTTCCCAGAGCATCTTGTGCTTTCTTCCCTGTAGTTCTTGTCACTGTCACTCAGAATTAAACAGCCTGTTTGCATGTCCGTTTCCCCCAGCAGACCCAAGTCCGCAAGCAGACTTCTCATGCACAGCTGAATCCCCCAGAGCCCAGCCCAGTGCCTTATGGTCACTGGTCAGGAAGTGCTCGTCGAACAGGACTGAAAGACCTAGAAACCGCAGATCACACCTGAGTGTGCTGTCCCAACTCTGCCACTTTCTAGCCGTGTAACCTTGGGCCAGTTCCCTATTTGTGCCAAAGTCAGGTGTCCTCGTCTGCACATTGAGGATAATGGCGCAACAAGGGCAGTTGTGAGGATTAAAAGAGACAACGTGTGGGAAGGATCCGGCTCGTGGCACATAACAGAAAGCCTGTGTTCTGTGCTCTCCTCTCACTACCAAATCACACGTGGTTCCATGTCATTCCCTCTAACTCTTTGTTTTCAGACTTCTTTGTTTAGCGGCAGAACTCTTTTTTTTGCAATTGAAGTCCTGCATGGAACCTCCATTCCTAACAGAAAAAAGCTGTGCTGGTACAGGGGAGGAGTGATGTGAAAGGCCTTCCAGTCCTTCTTTCATCCCCATGGCCTCAGAGCTCTCCCGATGGCCTTGACCTCCATGGCACAAGGCTGGAAACCCTGCCCCAGATCGAGCTGCTTCCCCACTTGAGCACCACAGTGCCAAGTCACAGCCTTGTCAGCACCTGGGGAAAGGGACACGTGCCCTCTCAGGTGTCCTCCGGGCAACACTGGGAGGTATAGGTAGGCAGTTTTTCTCCCAAATACACCAAGGGGGACGACGGTAAGGTTCAGAGTAAGTGATTTGTCCAAGGTCCCGCGGTGGTGGTCCTAGCCCATCGCAGAGCCCTACTGGGGCACAGGGTCACCCTCTTTAAGTTGACTCTAAGGTGGTGGCATGCCCTCTTTTTCTCTCCCCAGTTTCCTTTTCCTGTTTCTCTCCCTACATTCCCAAATCAGCTAGAAATACGTGAAATGGTGGAAGTCATCCAACCCCTGGCCCAGCACCACCATCTCCCTCCCATGGGCTTTTGACATCTGTCTCTCATCTCCCTCTAAAGGCCTCCTTGGTCTGCAGGTGTGTGGAGGTTGGGCAGAGGGATGGAGTGACTCAGAGCCCACAGACTTCACTTTCATTCTCCAGAACCAGGTCTGTTAACACTGACTGACAGAGTCCAGCCCCCCAGTTCTCACCTGGGCAGAGGGGCTGCTTTTATATCTTGCTGGAGGGCCCCACATAGCTGTCCACTGGGCATGCTTTAGGCATGGCCTTGATTACTTGAGGCAGCTGAGTGGTGAGTGGCTTTTATACAGAATTTCTCCCTCTTCCATAGCACCCGTACACAGTTCCTGCCACCCAGAGTAGTCTGACCTACTGCGGTGGTCTCACAGCTTCGTCTCACTTCTTGAAAGGCCTCCCATGATGTCACAGCTTTTTTTCCCCTACTACCAGCAGAATTGGAGAGAATGCCTCTGTAGCAGCCATCTCCTTCGCTTTGCATCCCCACTTTGGTCTTCACCTCAGAATTTTTGTCTGCCTTTTGCAGATGAGTCCACTGAGACTCAGCCAATGAATGAATTGCTTAAGTTCAGGCCTGGAAGGCAAGGTGCAATTAGCTGCATTCCTATCCCTTTGAGTCCTAGTGGGTCTTAGGCCCTAGGACTCACACTGGGACTCTGAGTGAACAAGCTATAAAAACCTATCCTCTGTGGGTCTGTCTCCATCCCCAGAACATGCATCTGATTGCATTTCATCCTCACTCCTGCAGGGTGGGTGAGCAGGCCTGAATGGCCAAGGTCCTGCCTCTAGCCAGTTAGCTGTAAAGCGGGGCCCCAGGCTGATGTGTCAGGTGTCACATTGTGCCTGGCACTTGCCAGGCCCTAGCTGAAACTGCTGCTTATATTGACAGGAAAAGGAGAAGGCCCACTTGGCAGCAGAAGCTTTAAAGCAGGTGAATCGTAGTGTTTCTGGAAGCCGGGAGCCAAGGCCTGCCAGGGAGAGGCTCTTGGAGTGGCCTGACCGGGAGCTGGATCGGGTCAACAGCTTCCTGAGCAGCCGTCTGCAAGAGATCAAGAACACTGTCAAGGACTCTATCCGTGCCAGCTTCAGTGTGTGTGAGCTCAACATGGACAGCAATGGATTCTCTAAGGAGGGGGCTGCTGAGCCAGAGTCCCAGCGCCTATCCCCCTCAAACCTCAATGGCTCCTCAGAGCAACGGCCTGACATTAACCTTGACCTGTCCCCTTTGACTTTGGGGTCCTCTCAGAACCACACGCTACGAGTTCCAGGTGAGCCAGCCCCACCGTGGACAGAAATGAGAGGCTCTCACCCACCATGGACAGAGGTGAGGGGGCCCCCTCCCGGTATCATCCCTGAGAATGGGCTAGTGAGGAGACTCAACGCCGTGCCCAACCTTTCCCGGGTGATCTGGGTCAAGACACCCAAGCCAGGCCACCCTAGCCCTGAGGAGCCAAGCCCAAAGGAGGTTCCCAGTTGCAAGCAGGAGCTGCCCGAGCCTGTGGCCTCAAGTGGGAAGCCGCGGAAGGGCAAGAGACAGGGCAGTCAGGCCAAGAAGAACGAGGCAAGCCCAGCCCCCCGGTCCCCAGCCAATCTCGAGGCTCCCAGTGCCAAGGGCCAGACCCCCAGCTCCAAGCAGCCAGGCAAGGCCCCAGAGCCTCCCAAAGTGGGCAGCTGTGCAGAGGCTGGAGAGGGGAGCCGGGGGAGCCAGCCGGGAGCAGGCTGGGCTGGTAGCCCCAAAGCCGACGAGAAGGGCAGCTCCTGGCGAAACTGGCCAGGTGAGGCCAAAGCACGGCCTCTGGAGCAGGAGTCCATGCAGCCCCCAGGCCCAGCAAGGCCACAGAGCTTGCCGCAGGGCAAGGGTCGCAGCCGCCGGAGCCGCAACAAGCAGGAGAAGACGGCCGCTTCCCTGGGTGAGTGCACCAGGAACTGAGTGGTTAGCCCCCCACCCCGCCAGGCCACAGGGTGGAGGGTAGTCCTCGGTGTGGGCAGTGCTGCCCCAAGAGCATGACCCCAGAGGCCTCGCCGTGGGCACTGAGCCCTCCTGGCTGTGTCTTCCTAGACGATGTGTTCCTGCCCAAGGACATGGATGGGGTGGAGATGGATGAGACTGACCGGGAGGTGGAGTACTTCAAGAGGTAGGTGTGGGGATGCCTTCTTGCCCACCCTCACTCAGGCTCACCCTCAGCCTGACACCCTCAGAAGGAGAGCCTCTCCAGGCTCTCTCCCTCCAGTCTATCTGCTGGAACCCAGGTAGCCACACGGCAGGACAGGCCATCTGGGAAGGCGTAAGGGACGGGGAGAAGGAGGCACGTCAGGCCCTAAGAACCAGGGCTTTCTCCAGCTTTATTCCCTTTGTGTGTTCACTTGCACTTCCTCTGCTCTGTCTGGGCTGAGCTCTGGGCTGGAGGCAAATGAGATACAGTCTAGATGGAGAGAGAGCCATAAACACACAGTTCAGGGATAAGTGCTGTTGCAGGAGTAAGGGCATGGGGCTGCAGACCCAGCTGAGACGTAGGGGTGGGCAGCGCTCCCAGAAGAGGTGGGAACCAAGCTGAGACCTGAGGAGTAAGAACCAGTGGGCCAGGTCAAACAGGGCCTTTGTGACAGCAGAGATGGTAGGCACAGAGGTTTCAGGCTGAAAACAACACACAGTACTTAGGGGAGCAGAAGGCCACCCAGTGTAACCAGAGTAAAATACAGCATGAGGAGCCACCCTGTATCCCGAGGCAGTGTCACTCTCTTCATACGCTGTTCCCTGGGCTCGTGGGCACCCTGTCCAGAAAGCCAGCAGAGCTCTCATAACCTGCTAGACCCCAATACCCTGGAGCCAGAGGGGTTGTACAGAGCTGACTTGGTTCCTTTAGTGACCAAGACACATGGGTCTAGAAGTCGGGTCCAGCAGGGAGAGGGTACCTCTGATTGTGCTTTTCTGCTGTCTCTCAAACCTAATAGGTTCTGTTTGGATTCTGCAAAGCAAACTCGCCAGAAAGTTGCTGTGAACTGGACCAACTTCAGCCTCAAGAAAACCACTCCCAGCACAGCTCAGTGAGGTATGGAGACCCCCAAGCGTTGCATGTACTCCCTCTCCCCAAGTTCTGTCACGTTCTGTGTCCCCACCAGACCATTTCATGCTCTGGGGCATGGAGTTGGGCTAGTGGCTTGCCAGCCCTGGACCCCTGCATTCCACAGTGACAGCTATGTGCTCTGCAGACACAGGCCCCATCTCTTCTCCTATGGCCACTCACCCCTAGGCCTCTGTCCTTTCATCACTCCTTCCTGGGCCAGAGCCTCCTGGGAGCCCTCCTGTTCCTGAATCTCCATCCCTGGGCTATCTCCACCAGGCCTCTACTTCCCTTACTGGCTGCCTCTCAAGTGCTTAGGCAGCCTTAATCCCCAGAGGACTGCCCCCACCCCTGACAATATTAGCCTCAGGGTTGAATCTCACTTGCCCAGCCTGGTAGGCTACCCAGGTGCTTCCTAGCTAAAGCCATGCAAGAAATGGGTAGCCCCAAAGGACCAGTGAGAGGGCAGATGAGCTAGACCAAGGCCTCGATGAGGTCATTTAGGCATGGAGGAGTTGGTAAGTGCTCTCCCCAAACAGGAGAAGCCCCATGAAGAAATTAATAGCTAAGCTGCCTCCTGAAGAAGACACCTGGCCCCCAGCTGGGCTTGGGGCTCCTCTCCCAACCACCTACACAAGTCCTTTTGTGTGAAATACTGACATATCAGATGATGTTCTGGACTGAGAACAAGAAGACCAAGAGAAGGCACTGGGCTGAGCACCATAGTGCAGGAGAGAAGGGTGGCTTGCAGGCAGGCCTCGGTGCCAGGTTTTCAACCTAATGGCTGTGCAGTGCCCTATCATAACCCTGTGCTCTGTCCCTGGGATCAGGCCTTTTCTGGCTGGGAACCACACAACTGCCCTTAAAGCAACAGGAAACTGGGGCAGGTGAGCTGAACTCAGGGAACCCCAGGAGGATGTCCTCACCTCTCCTACCCCTTCTCTTCTCAGTGCCAGGACAGCTCCTCTCTGGGTCGGGCAGCAGACTTCCTGGACCCTCATCCGAGTTTCCTTGTCCTCTTTTGGTTTTAGGATTCCCCACCCTTGGGGCTGAGCTCCCTATGGCACCTTGGGCTGCCTGGAGTCAGGACTGTCTTTAGACTCACCTCAGCCCCTCTCTCTGAAGGGGCTAGGCTCCCTCATCTTTTGCCAAACTGAAATGTCCACACCCTCAGGAGCTTCTGCCAGGGCCAGGGCGCCCTCCTGCCCCTTTTGTCCACTTCCATAGGATCCAGGAGTTATGGGGACCCCAGGCACTTTGATTTGTTGCCTCTTCTTAGAGAAAAAGGGGCACACCCTTCCCCCAGCCAGGAAACCTCATTTGGCCATCTTCTCTCAGGGACCCCTTCTTTGGTTGAGCTCTTTCCCAAGACACGAGATGTTCCCTCCCTGCCCCACCCCACTCTTAAGGGCTCTCCATTGACCTTTCCACCCTCCTCAGAGTGGGACTGGGAGCCCGGAGAGTGTGTGAGAAAGCAGTGCAGGCGTAGATTCGGGACCTAACCTGGGCTGTGTACCTGGAGCCCGAGTGCGTACGCTGCCTCTCCCCTGCCTTTCAGCAGGAGAGCAAAGGCCAGAGGCGGGGCTCTTACACCACCCTGGCTCAGATAGATGTGTGCCAGGGGAGCTGTCCCCTGGCAGGGTCTTAACCTGAATCCTCTGCTGAAGGTAATCAAGGAAGTCTATTCAGTATTTTCAGCCCAGGGAGCAAAAATAGCAGGCAGCTGTTCCTTCCCATGGGGATCCATGGAAACCCAGAGCCAGCGCAGGGAGGCTCAGGCAAAGGCTCACTCACGGTATGGCCATGCTCTGTTTTCTCAGCCCCCTGCCGGGTCGAGCTGCTTCAGGGTGTCCTGAGACCCCAACTGCCAGCTGAAGGTCTACAGTTTCTTCCTCCACATCCCTACCCACCTGCCCAAGATCTCTCTGCTCCTCACCATCCTGGACCAACCAAAAGTTGAACGGATGCTGTGCCGTGCTGGGGCCCCTCAGGACCTCCACAGAGCCGCTTCCTGGTGCTACGCAGCCTCCTCACTCAGAGCCTGGGGGCTGGACTGGCTTGTGGGCCGGGGGCTGATGGTACTGCTGGCCCAACATTGCTCTCTTTGTGTTTGGTTTTGTTTTTGTTCTTGTTTTTCAATTCTTTACTTTTGATACTGTGAAGATCTTTCCTGCAGAAAGATAAAGCAACATTTGGACACAGAGTCAGTGTGTTGATGGTTTGCTGGTCTGGGGCAGGGGTGAGGTGAGGAATGTACTCAGAAGCATGGGATCTGCCTTGGTCATTAGCCTCACTGAGCAGATATTATGTGTCAACAGTTTGGCAGTTTTCACTTAATTCCACAACTGTTCTAAATGGGGCTGTTATCCAATTTTACAGATGAAATTAAAACTAAGACAGGAAAGTGACTTTAGTGCACTCAGTCTGGCTGAGCAGAGTTAGAGCCTAGGCCCATATAACAGCAGCATCTGTGTACTTTCTCCCGGTGGCAGGACTTTGGTATGTGACCTGGAACAGCCCCTTCCCCATGCCCTGTTTCCCCCTCTTCGAGATGGAGGAGTGAGACTCGATCTCTGTGCAGCTGCTGTGAGAAGGGGTCTGGGAAAGGCTTGAGGCCTTTACAAACTGTGCACCTTTAGCCTGGGTTATTGACATTGTCAAGGGACGTGGAGTAAATGGAGTTTCTATAAATTGGATCTGACTTTCCAGTGGGAATGACACATATAGCCTAAGTACTTGAGAGTTGCAAATAATGAACCCTTCTGTAAAGTAAAGTAAACTACCTCATTCCTATCTCTCACCCCCTGCAGATCTGGTTCATAAATTCAGATTTTAACATAATAGGTTTGCCAAAAAAAAAAAAAATGCCTCACACACGCTTGTGGTCCAACTCCTTGTTCCTCTTGTCGTTTCCTGAAACTGACACTTAACTTGAGCTTATGTGAGGAGCAGTGGAGGCTGTAGCCACACAGTCACTAAGAGGCCTTTACAGAGTGTTGGGAAGCAGGATCAGAAACCATTCCCCTGGGCGCCTGGGTGGCTCAGATGGTTAAGCATCTGCCTTTGGCTCAGGTCATGATCCCGGGATCCTAGGATCGAGTCCCGCATTGGTCTCCCTGCTCCTTGGGGAGCCTGCTTCTCCCTCTGTCTCTGCCTCTCTCTCTCTCTGTCTCTCATGAATAAATGAATAAAATCTTAAAAAAAAAAAAAAAGAAACCATTCCCTCCCTCTTCCCCCTCCTCCCAGATTGAACCCCACCATGGGCAGTCAGTGCCAGCTTCCTCTTCTAAAGAAGTTAAAAAGCATCGCCGACAGGCTCAAGGCTCACAAGTCCTGGTCCCTGGCCTTTCATAATCCCCAAGGAAGTCTGCATATGCCGCTGTGAAACCTGTCTCTGCATACATACTATCTGTGTTCCTCTCTCCCTTCAACTCTTGCACCAGGCTCCTGCCCTGCAGTTGAACTGGCATAGCTACCTAAAATTCTGCTTCATCATTCAAAAATTGCCTGTCTGATCAAGGAGCTGCTTTACCTACAGAGAAAGACCTGTGGATGGCATTCAGAGCCTTCCACGCCTGGCCTCTGCCTCCCAGCACTCCAGCCACACCAGATGACCTCAGTCTCCCTCTAGGCCTGGCACCCTCAGGTCTCCCAACTTTGGCTCACGTTTCCTTCTTCCCAGATTACCTTTCCTTCATTGTGTCCTGCTTATCCTTCACATTCCAGCTGAAAGGCCACTTTTACTAGGAAAATGTTTGCCCTGCCTTGTGGTGCTTCCAAAAGTACTACTTTATCTGTCTTAGAATATTTCTCCTTAACCTCAAGACCCATTATATTTTTGTCTCCTCCACTAATCCATAAACTCAAGCCAGGTTTGTGTCTTGTTCATTTTTTATCTGCTTCAGCACTGCACAGTGCCCAGCATGTGCTGATAATAAATACAGGAATGAAGGAAGAAATAGTACTGATGCATCACTCCTCTTTACAAGTCCCCTGTGAGGGGCACCTGGGTGGCTCAGTCCTCTGACTCTAGATTTCGGCTCAATTCATGATCTCAGCATAGTGGGATCTAGCCCCAGGTCAGACTCCTTGCTCAGCGCGGAGTTTGCTTGAGACTCTCTCTCCCCCTCTCCCTCTGCCCCTTACTCCTGCTCGAGCTCTCTCTCAAAATAAAATCTTTAAAAATAAATACAAATAAAGTACCCAGTGAAGTTGAAGTTACTTTGACAGTCAGCCCTGCATGCTCTGGACCACCCAGCCTACCTATCCAGCTTTAGCTTTGGCCACCCCCACTCCACAGGAGCCGGCCACGTGGTTTGTTTGTTCTTTAAGGAATCTGTACTTGCACATGGCCAGCCCTTCACTCCTACAGGACCCTCAATCAGAAAACTCTTTCTTCCACTTCCTGTTCTGAGAGTCTACACCTGTGGAAGCTCAGATTCAGGTCTCCTTGAAGGCTTCTCTGGGTTCCCCAGGCAGTGAGTTACTTTAAGCTCTATCACAGCATTTACAATAATAATCGCTCCATATGTGTGTACAGACCCTCAGCGAAAAAACACTTGTCACCAGCATTTTATTTATCCCTCGCCACTCTGAACATACGTGCTGTCTCACATAGATGAGGACGCCAGTCAGAGCTGCAGTGTAAGCTGATTCATTTTTCCGTAAGGCACACCCCGTCCCCGCGCCCCTGCCCGGGATGGAGGCCCGGGCGGGATCCCAGCTGGCCCCGTCCCGGGACGTGCCTGATGACGTCAGACTGGGCGAGGCTGGGCAGCTGGCCGGCCGGCCTCTTCGGGATCCCCGATCTCCGCTTTAGGGACCTTCTTCCACCAGACTTCGTTTGAGCCTTTAGCGCATGCTCCAAATCCTCCAGCGTCCCATAATACACTGTCTGACGCTTTGCCCTCGCCCCTGGCAACAAATGCGCAGCCGCCCAAGGGACTTTGACGCCGCGCTGCCTGATAGGGTCTCAGAGGAAAGTTTGTCCCTCTACGCGATCCGGCACTCAGAGGTCGTTGCTAGGCGCCCACGTTCCGCTTCTTCACATCTGATTGGATTTCACTCAAAAGTTGAGGCGGGGTTTTACCGTAGCGCGCATGCGTGCAGCAAAGGATGGAGGACTCGGAACCCGAGCGGAAGGTAGGAGCGAGACAGGGGTCCGCGCGGGTGGCGAGCGGCAGTGAAAGCGGGGGGCCTGAGCCTGACTTCTGTGTATTTGTAGCGGGCTCGCACCGACGAGGCGACTGCCACAGGAAGCCGCTCCGAAACGGAGGATGAGGACGACGAAGACTACGTGCCTTACGTGCCTTTGCGACAGCGCCGGCAACTGCTGGTGAGGGCCCGGGTTCGGAAGAGGAATGAGGGCGTGGGATCGGGGGGCGTGGGGGGGGGGTGGCCGCCAGTGGAGCGAGCTGCCAGTACTCGGGACAGTGGCCGTCTGGCGAATGAGGGACGGGCAACCTGATCTGAGGTCGCAGGGTACAGATTCCTCTCCCAAAAGCCAAGATCTTGACGCAGGCCCCCTGGACCCAATGCTCCGCTCTGTTTTGGGCTGGGCTCTGAGGGGCTCTGGTGGAACCTCAGCTCCAGAAGCTACTGCAACGAAGGCGCAAAGGAGCTGCGGAGGAGGAGCAGCAGGACAGCGGCAGCGAGCCCCGGGGAGATGAGGACGATATCCCGCTGGGCCCTCAGTCCAACGTCAGCCTCCTGGATCAGCACCAGCACCTCAAAGAGAAGGCTGAAGGTGGGCTGGAAAGCAGCGGGGAGGCGCAGTGTGGTACAGTGCTTTGGTGTCTGACATCTGCTGCTTTCCTCAGCCCGCAAGGAGTCTGCCAAGGAGAAGCAGCTGAAAGAAGAGGAAAAGATCCTGGAGAGTGTGGCTGAGGGTCGAGGTATGGTTGTAGCCAGGGCAGGGAGGGAGGTGGACCCAGCCTCCTCCCCCAACCCCAGGCATGTTATATCTCATGGGCCTGGCCTCTGGGAAGCAAGAGCCAGCCCTGAGCCTCGTCTGTCTCCTCAGCCTTGATGTCAGTGAAGGAAATGGCCAAGGGAATCACATATGATGATCCGATCAAAACGAGGTATGGTTTTCAGTCTGTGGGAAGGCAGTCGCTTTTACTTGGAATGGTATGTGGCTGAGACTGGCAGGTGCACCCCAGAGCCAGTTGTGCCCGGGGCCTCTCTTGACCCCCACCATGCACTCACAGTTGGACACCCCCCCGTTATGTCCTGAGCATGTCTGAAGAGCGGCATGAACGTGTACGGAAGAAGTACCACATCCTGGTGGAAGGAGATGGCATCCCACCACCCATCAAGAGCTTCAAGGAAATGAAATTTCCTGCAGGTACCTGGGAACTTTGGTAGTCAAACAACTGTGCGGTTGTGTCCCAGCTCCCCCTGACCTCAGCATCTGCAGCGATGGGTCTAGCCATTGGAGATGGAGGGACTTAGGTTTGAATTTCAGTTGCCCCAGCTGTACCTGCTCACTGTCTTCTGCCATTAGGGAGCTTCAGTGGGCAAGTGACATTGGCCTTAAAGGGACCTAGGTGTAAATCTTCCCTCCAGTTATCCTAGAGGTCTAGACAAGTCTTCTTTTTCTCTCTTTTTTTCTTTGGGCCTCATTTGTAACTTGAAGGGAGCGGGAGTAGTGCCGATTTTACAGCTTTGGGAGGCCTGATAAAGTATCTGTGAGACACAAGGATGATACTAAGGTTGTGTTCCGTAGCCATCCTGAGAGGCCTGAAGAAGAAAGGCATCCACCACCCAACACCCATTCAGATCCAGGGCATCCCCACCATGTGAGTGTGGACCTGGGGGCCCTGAAGAGGGCGGTGATGGGGAGGAGCAGTCACTAGGTGTCCATCTGGAGACACATTCCCTACATTCTACTGAACCTGATCTTCAGGCCTCTCCTCTCCCCACAGTCTCTCTGGCCGTGACATGATAGGTATCGCCTTCACGGGTTCAGGCAAGACACTGGTGTTCACATTGCCTGTCATCATGTTCTGCCTGGAACAAGAAAAGAGATTACCTTTCTCCAAGCGTGAAGGGCCCTATGGACTCATCATCTGCCCCTCGGTAAGACAGACCAGGCTGGAGACAGAGCGGAGACAGGACTGCCTTCTGGTACCAACCTCTGCCCTGTTCTTACAGCGGGAGCTCGCCCGGCAGACCCATGGCATCCTGGAATATTACTGCCGC